GGCAACAACATGCAAATTCAGGTATTCAAGAATTTACTGTATGCTTATCTAAACACAAGCAACTTTAGGTGAAGTACACAGCATATAATAGGTTTACATGGAGTTTACTGCTGGAGTAGTTTACTAAATGATGTTATATATCGTCTACCGTATATACTGTGCAGGGAAGTCATTACAGTCGGGTCTTGCTCACAAGCTATTAGTTATGCTACAGAACCTTCGCTGATGTCTAGTCAACAGGGAGGCAGTGAGTATGCCATGTGCTGGCTCAGGTCAGAGAATTGAGATCATAAGTGTTGGCCATTTGCGCCTACTCACCATACAGTAAAAGAGGGGCAGGGTGGTGATACACATACACGAATCTGTAGCTGGCACATGAAATAACTATTCATCTAACATAATAGTATGGTTATACAGTATACAAAAACAACTTCTTTTAAGCATTCACAATAAGAGCACAGTATTTGCCTTGAGATGCACTCTTTTTTTTTCTTTTTTTTTTGCATATAATGAACAGTACTGTACCTAAATACAGTTATCAAGTGATCACCAATTTGATAATGAATTAAAGTTTCAAATAGATACTGGCCTGGATTGACTGTTGCTTCTGAACAACCTCTTACATTTGCAACAGATTGATGAATACAAAATTTTCTATATGGTAAATAACCCATCAAATGCATACAGTATTTGTGTAATGATGTTTCAGAGTAAACTGTAAGATGGTCATGGAAATTGATTTGGAGGGCTAGTTAATATAATGTATAGTACAGGACGGGTAGTATAAGGATTTTTAAAGAAATGCAGAATAAGGATAAGGTTTAACTCAAAAAGTCATATTAGGATTGTGAAAGTAATCCTGATGGCAATCTGAATGAAGGATATATCACAAAAGTTTAAAAGAGCATTACAAAGTGACACAATGCTAGAGGGAATAAGAAGCCATAAACTGTGCAAAACACCTACAGTATTGGACTGGTGTGCAAGTAAAGATACACACTACAACTTTCTCCATACAGTAATATTAGACCTTTCCTGAAAATAACAATGAGTGTAAGTACAATACCTGTAAATATTAAGGGAAAAAATGCTGCCTTCCTAAATAAAATTATGGGAACCATCTATAATCAAGTCATCTTAATTATTTAATTTTCGTGAAAGTAGATATCTAATTTTTGGGAAATCTACTTTCCCGAAAAGTAGATACTTACGATCTTTTGAGAATTCGAACTTACAATCTTTATAATTCTCAAAAGATCGTAAGTTCGAACTTAAGAGGAAAAAATTACGATCTTTCTACATCTCCAAAGATCGTAAGTTATTTTCTTATCTTAAGCTCAAACTTACGATCTTTTGAGAATTATAAAGATCGTCATGCCCCCACATCTTACCTTAATAAAACTAGTGTATTGGGACACCGTCAAATATGCTAATCTTCACGCAGTGTACACTGGTTATTACACTTTGGACAAAGAACTATATTCGGTAATACACCGTGTTTTCTAAAAAAAAAATTGCCTCACTATTTTTCTGGTGTAACTCTGCAAATGCCGCAACATAATCATTCTCACAATGCCGGCACAGCTCTTCCAACTCAAATATCCGCTCCTGACCCACCCACTCATTGTTCTTTGGCTAAAACAAAAAAAATCTTGCCCAATAAAAATCCTCAGCACTCCTATTGTTATAGCCAATAAGAAACTCCCACTTCACCCCCCTCCCCCCGCACATGCGCTGTAGACGCTTAAGTAGCGAACACGGAGGTCTGGAGCGATGCGTGAGCGGGTGTCAGACGTCCTCTACCAGATGTAAACAAAACATGGCGACACTTGTGAATGAGCGAAAGTAATAATCTTGAAAAATTAATATCTCGATTATCCTTAATTTCCGGTGGATATATCATAGAAGAAAAATGACTTAGAAGTGTCTAAATATTATGAAACACATATTAATAACAGCGAAAGAAAGACCAGTGTAAAATTATAAATTCACAACTTTTTATACTGGTACAGTATATTCATCGAGATTTTTGACATCATGAACCTAAGTCAAGCTCGTCCAAAACTCCATTAGAAAACACTAAGCCTGTTGCACGAGGGTATCTGTATAGTTTTATGGATCTCATGTACAGTACTAATGCTTATTCTGAACTGATTAGTGTTGTGATAAAAGTAAACACCCAACCTAGAAGTTCTGACCTAATACTGTACTGTGAAAATTTTTCTTTGTATTCATCCTAAAACAATACTTACTCTACCCTGACCTAAGATTCAATTTGGAATTTAATTACCACATAAAAATGCAAATGTCCTAAACTTTAACAAATGTGTCTCATAATATATATGTTGGGCTCAGAACCCGAAAAGCGACCACAACACGTTGTGGTTGTTTGGAAAATAATTAGAAGCAAGATTTTGCTTTAGGTTAGGTTAGTTTGGAAAAGATTCTGAATGTGCCATCCAAGTATGGTCTCAGAAAATAATATTGTATACATAATAGGACACAGACAAGTGCATCAGTTATTAAGTAGTTTTATATAACATTAGGGCCATGATTACTGTAAAATTAGGTGGAAGCAATTAAAACATTGGGAAATTTCACCAATCTAAATCCCTCAATTATCATAATAAAAGGGAAAGTTCACAATATTGATACAGTACAGTATTTGTATAACAAGCCCCTTATAATGATGTAATATACTAATGTTCACTTGTCTTTTTCATACTAGCCCCCCCCCAAAAGAAAAAAGGTCAGTACTGTACAGTACATGGTATTGCATCTTCCAATATAATTCTTATACTGTACTAAAAAATATGTTAAGAGTCCCCTGTAAGGCTTATTTAATATTCTTGTTAGACTAACCTGAGTGAACCATGTGAAAAACTTACATATTTCTTTAATAACATACACGATACACTTACACTTGCTTTCAGTAGCTCTAACCTCCGCACACAAACCATGGACCAACACATTTTCAAAGAAATTTGGCAGTTTCCTGTAACCTTAGAAGATAGTCTTGAAATTGTAATCTAAAGGACCTTTATAATGAAACTTAAGACTATTTACTTGCATTGATATTATGCACACTATTTTTTTTTGAAAGGCAAGTATTACAATCGGAGTTAAAAGTTCACTCCCTCCCAAAATGAAGCAGTATTGACTCCATATGGGATACACCCAGTAACAACATAACCGCACCAAATGACAGCCAGGTAAGTTCAGAGAATTATTCCCATGACTCAGTTTTACCAAGGGAAACAAACTTTTGTCTGCAACTGTACATCAATGGAATCTTGATGGGGAGTGGATTAAATCCCTCCTATAAATATAAAGCTTCATTAAAAAAATCACAAAATCTTGATCACCAAATAGAATAAAAATATCTCATACTCTAACATTACACTAAACACATTCAAAATGACAGTCAACAGACTTATTTAAATGCAAAAGTTTTGTAAATGAGTACTAGTAGGTAGTGCACAGTACTGCTAAAAATATAACCTAGTGTACTTATTATAGCATTTCATTATGAATCCCAAATAAAACTTTCCTGGACAAGATGGAGGTTTCAAATCCCTGAACTTGTTATTACAATATATTCCTTGATTTGTTAAGTACGCTGGACACCAAAATGGATGGATATGGAAGAAGACTCTTTTACAAGAGTTAACTAATGTAAAAAGCAAGTGTGTGTTGTATACAAGAAGTACAGTACGTGCAGTGTTTTTGCATGTGTTCTAAATGTGAATTAGTGTAAGCATATGTGTCATGTGTATGTATGTAGGTGTGTATCCATTCAATACACATGTGTGTTGTGTATCATTGTGTGTGTGTGTGTGTGTGTGTGTTTTGTTTCCATGTGTACACATGCATACATGCAGGTACTTTGACCTTGCTTCAAAATCATATTGGTGCAAAATTTTTACCAATACCCAGTTTAATCACTAAGTTTCAACCAAGTTTAGGAATAAATGGCTTCAATATATATATATATATATATATATATATATATATATATATATATATATATATATATATATATATATATATATATATATATATATATATATATATATACAGTGATCCGGTGTCAACGAACTCAATCGTTCCAGAGGTTGTTCGTTAACCGAAAAGTTCGTTAACCGAAACCATTGTTTCAATGGGTTTTTGGGTAATTGGTTCCAGCTCAACCGAAAATTTCCTAAATTCAACAAAAATGGTAGAAAAGTTCACTTACTTTGAGGTGTGTATGTAGAAGGCTCCTGGATGATGATGATGATGATGATGGGATTTAGAATGGGGGTGCAGGAGAAGGAAGAAGAGAAGGCATTGGGGTGGAAGAGAAGTCACCCCATGGCGCCATTTCACCCATAAAATTTTAGCTCTATTGGTGTAATTCAAGATTATTTTCTTTAAATCAACACTGCACTGCATTATATATTGTCAATATGTAAAATATATTTCAAAATGACCAATAATTTGCTTGGAAACACAGAAAAAAAGTGTTTAGTTGAAGAGAGTCTCAAGCAAGATGTTACCTCCAGTGAAAACAGAGAGAGACTAACACCTGTTTGCTGTGTTAAGAGGCTGGATGCTGCACATTAAACTAGTCACTTTACCTTCAATTATGTTCAATAATTGTTAAAATGACTAAAAAATTTAATATTAAACTTTTAAAATTATTGAATAGTATAAACTTCTTGATATTTACTAAAATAGTAAGGAATTTAAGCCCTAGAACCGATTAATGTATTGGCGGACTGATACTAAAGCTGGTTGTCCGGTCAGTGCAAGCGAAAACATGTTGAGTGTCGGTTCAGAAGAAATTTAACCAATTTTTTGTTCGTTAACCTAATTGAAGATCCTTATGGAAGGCAGTTCGCTAACCTAAATTTCGTTAACCGTCAGCAAAATAGGGTCACTATATATATATATATATATATATATATATATATATATATATATATATATATATATATATATATATATATATATATATATATATATATATATATATATATATATATATATATATATATATATATATATATATATATATATACTCGAATACAGAGTACACACAGTAGACTCCCAGTTATCCGGCATTTACTGGGATTGAGTGGTACCGGATAAAGAGTTTTTCCGGTTAGTTGAAACTCACTCTTAGCATCCCCAATAAATCCTACAATGCATAGTGCTACAGATTGACCTCTCAAATTTGTGTCTCAGAAAAATGTACTTCTTTAACACTTATTCCACTCTCAATAAATGATGCGGCTTAGAAATAAAGAAAATATAATATAAACTATAAAATAAGAAAAATTAAAAGCAGTGGTGTGTAAATGAATGTATGTGTGTATGAAAGTTCTGGAAAAATCATTAAAATATTCTATTGCAGCTTAGAAATCTGGAAAATATAATATAAAACTTTAAAATAAGAAAAAATGAAGGGGATATGTGGAAAGTGAATGTGTTATGAGGCAGTGAGTTACTGGGCTATAACTGCGTGGTTGAGCTCCTTCCCGACATGACGTCACAGCATACACACAGCTAGTGCAGCAGCCATATGTCTGTGAGTCAGCTGTTTCACTGCCTGAACTGGGTCACGTTGCTTATAAAATATGTGCTAATGTATTTTATATATGCTATGTACATATTGATTACTTTGTGTATCATAGCAATAAATATGGCAGCTCACCCTCATTGTGCACGATATTCAGACTTAAGATTCTAGCTGATTTTTTATAAATTATTATTATTATTATTATTATTATTTTTATTATTTTATTTTGGAGCCAGTTTTGTTGAATCTACAGGTTACCCAGGTACCGGATAACTGGGATTCTACTGTACATATTACTAATGAACTACAAAGAACAAGTGGTATTCTAAAAGTAACAAATCATTAACAATAACAGTAGCTAAGATGATATGGAAAACCAAGCAGAGAGAACCACAGACCTCATTGTCAACTCTAACAAATGGACAAACAATTATTTAAAACTATTCTTTAAACCAATATTTAAAAATAATACTGTGGCACAATACGTACTGTATGACACAATAATAAAGATGCTGTGAAGTTACAGTAGACTTAGAAAAACTTAAGCGATAGATTTAAACCATAATACAAAGTCACACATCTCTTTCTTTCGACAGTCTGAGGAATATAATACAGTACTGTATTTCTTCTTGATTTTCTACATAGAAATTAGATGTATAAGTACAGTATAGTCTATTTCTCCAATTTTATCATGTGAAGTATCTAGATGATATAGCTTTGATAATTTGAGACATAACACCAGCAAGAAAAATTTTCATAATTTAAGAAAAAGAAAAAATAACCTAAATATGCAAAATTCTTTGAACATTAATTAGAAAACTTATTCAGTTCAGTATATAGAAGAGAGTCTAGTATGCAGTACAAGGATCTAATTATCATTTCTAGATACGTAATATTGAAATGAAATTCATCTAAGTACTCAACCTATTACTGATGACACACAACTTAAAATGATATTAATAAATTACACTGAAAGGTTATGGAATTATATTTGTCTTTAACAATTACCAACAAAGTAACTTGAAAGTTTTAGCAAGTAACTAAGTAACTGGCAATGGTCATGTGTTCAACCATCAACAATAAGTAAAACAAGTCAAATGACCACAATTCAATATGGTTTCTCTAATATACAGTCAGGGAAATCTCCAAATTGATTTTGGCTCAAGTTTTTATGTTAAGAGATGTAAGTTGACAGGCACTTGTCTTGGATTTGTAGGAAGGAAAAACATCCATCGAATAAATTTGAACAAAATTACATTTAGGAACCTCAATATTCAAGCTCATTCCTCTGGCAGTTTCTAAGTAGGGAAAAATAGAGGATAGGTACCTGAAACACTGACATTTAAAAATCCATTCTAAAAAGGTCCTAAGTGAGACTGCATAAGCACCAACAAATCACCTAAGTGCAGAAAAAAAAGCAACACAACCACATAAAGGAAATTATTGCATGATTAGTCACTTACGGTCGACAAAAATATTCCACCAAAGTGCAGAAAAGTATTACTTAATAACAAAGGCATGAGCAGCACACATATGAATAAAAATCACCTTTACATACAGCCTTCCTTTACCAAGTATTGCAAGGTAAAGTTGTGAGCACGAGACCCAGGGTGGGGTCGCCTTTGGCTGATTGTACTTCTAAAATATACTTAAGTATTAAAAAATTTCATGTTAATACAGTAACATAGTAATAATTGTTCCCTCAGAACAAGTGAAGCAGTTTTACATAGGTGAATGAAAGCTCTGAGTATTATTAGTGTGACTGTACTTTGTCTGACACTGCACAAGGATTAATAGGACAGTGATGGACTGTTAGTACCTGTATGGCCACTTCAAAAAAGAAATATCATTATACTGTATTTAAGTCTAAAAGTTTTTCCTTCCTTCTCATTGTATTCAAGCAACTTTGCATCATTGACTGAATTTTCCAGTACATGTCCAACATATCACTGGGAAACACACTTAAAAGTTACATTTTGATTTATAAAATTTTGTGCACAAAATTTACATTATACTCTACTTACAAGAAATATTCTAAATCATTTACCATTTGGATGTAAGGGCCCCCCAAATCCACTATCCATAACAATATTGATTAAAACCTTCAGGATATCAAATGGAGGAAAAAAAATCTTGATTTGACACTTTGGTTGAAATATACTGTAGATGATTGCAAATATTCTCTTCACTGAAAGAAGACTGTCATGGACCTTTCAAATTGAATCAAGTCATTAAGATTTGAAAATAATATAAAATATTTAAAAACTTTAAGGAACATGCATGGCAGATGTCAATGGAAGAGATCTACTAAATGTGAGCCTTAAATATATATAACATACACGTAACCCTACAATACTGTATATCGGGTAAGCATCTGTATATGAATGCACTTCAATATGAGGCACCCTGAGAGAGAACGGTCAAAGAGCCCAAAACATAAAAATGTCAGAAAACAGGTGGTTAAAGTATATTGATTATAAAAATTTTATAACTCTTGAATAAATAAAGATATCTTTATAATTATTTTTCTCTTCATTTTGTAGCTTATGACTACCATATTAAGCTAGTATGATATCAATAAATAATTTATAATACTGTATCTCAAATTTTTTGTAAATGCTTAATAGTATTGGGGTATGAATGTAAAGAAGGTGCATAAGAGACTAAAACAGGAAAGCTTTCATTATAAACACAAAATTCATGTTGGCATTTAATAATACAGTACCATAATAAAAAAAATAATATAATATTTAGTTCAAGAGATTATTGCATTTTGATAATCACTAAAAATACCTGCATTTTCTGGCACCCATTATTTTATGCAGAAGAACCAATTTAAAATTTCTACTGATAACAATAAACATTAAAATGAGGTTGTGATTCTTATGACAATTCAAGAGTACCTATGCACTTTAAAGGGACTTTCAACCATATTGTCATAACTGGTTATCCATCTGTTTTTGGCTCCAGTGGTGCTTAAGTGCTTCTTTTAGAGGCAAACTCGTATATTTCAATAAATTTTATGCATATGAGAGATAATTTACTAAACTTACAAATTATTGTGCCAATATATAGTGTAATGTGATAGTGACATCCTCCTAATTTACCTTTTGTTACTGTCTAAGCCTAATTAAAGAAGATGTAAGACATTCACATGCAGACTAAATGTCAGAATCATCATTATAAGAGCATCTTACACATGATATTTTGCAGATGGTGAAACTGCTCTGTGAAATATAACTATGAAGGAACCAGTACATTCCCTAATTAACTATACTGTAACTTAAAATAAAGTCATTTTATAAGTTTTGTATATTTCAAAACTACAACATGCAGATCTTATACTTCACATTTGATGGATTATAAAGAGTTAAATCCATGAGAAAACAAATACACAACAATTAAACCAAATATGGAGATCTATTACGTGTCATGAACTTCTGACATAATCAGAGCCAAGTTGATTACCTTTGGAAGAAAATTCTGTCACACAAAGCTGAGTTTACAGAACATTGCTTTTTGGAGTACCGTACAATATTGTAGTTTAATAGTTAAAACCTATACTGTACTCGTATTAAAAAAAAAGAAACTAATAATACAAACTTATTAGTATATTAAAATTTCAGATCATTCAATCTTTAATTTACAAATAAATCTGAGGAAAGATTCTGTTAATTCCAAGTGAAAACATGCAAAATATAATTGTTTTGATTTAGTACACATACAGTACATGTACAGTTGGCCACAGGTATAGTGTTTCACTCCTCGGTGGCTTTCCCAACACAAGGCAACATCAGAATCATAGTCGAACCTTCTTTACAGATATTACATCTATCATATTACTTAGCACAAATGTCGAGTACAAATATTATTGGGTGCAACACTATAACTGTGGGCAATTGTACAGTATATTCCTACAAAAGGATCTGATGAGAATTTCTTTAAACGAATAGCTCTGTTGCAAGGATGAATTACCTGAGTACATAAACAGCACACACAACCATTGCCAGCGAAACAAACGGGTAAAATGCTCCATAGTGAGCTTCAACAGTCCACCGACATTAAAAGTTTGCTTGTTCTTAATGCAACATGGAATTTGTTCTTAAATCTACCTATCCATAGTGATGCATTCCATTGAAATTTGCATAGTTATTTAGGTCCGTGAGCAAGACACTTACAATAACGTGTGTTTATATTAATCTTTTTGAAGATAATTTGGGGAATTTATTTCATAAACAGGACATACAATAACTTTTATGCAATCGTATGATGCAACTTAATGAAATCAACTATGGTACTGGGTATTCCATTAAATGGTACATATATTCATAATAATACTTTTATACTTATAAAATTATAATCTAGGAAAAATAGCAATACTACCAGGGGTAATATTACTTGGAGTATTACTCCAATTTCAAATACACCTGTAGTATTAAAAACCACTAAAATAAAAATTCAATATTATATATCAGAAATAAACACAACAAATATCTACTGATTCAACTGCTGCTACCATCTTAATGTTGTGCTAATATGTGATGGCTTTTTTTTAAATGGTTGAAACATTTATCTTATTCTTACTATTTTCCTCAAATTACATTATCTACGTATCACCAAGATTCATTAATTGAAGTCTTATATTAAGGCCTTCTCAAAAGTTTAGAAACAAAAACAACTAATATAGGTGTAAACCCTTTCTGAGCAATATTGAGTACTGTATAACAATATAAGGCCATTATACTTAGTGCTAGAGAAGTATTCTTCAACTCAAATTTTTATTTGAACAATCTAAAGGATATTATGCACACAAATATGCAATTTTATACAGTAATTGGAAAGTATTAGAACTTAGAACCATCACATTTATGAGAGATAAACTTGACATTCTAACAGGACCATTAATTATTAAAAATTTTAATTTGAAGTTATGAAAGTAATATATAGTACGTATCTTAATATTATTCATCATCACCACAGTCCTCCTCTGGCGCCTCCTCTGGTTCCTCTTCGGGTTCCTCCTCGGGTTCCTCTTCGGGTTCCTCCTCGGGTTCCTCCTCGGGTTCAGGTTCAGGCTCCTTCTCTGGTTCAGGCTCTGGTTCAGGTTCTGGTTCATTATCACTACTGCTGCTACTACTACTACTACTACTACTACTCTCAGACTTGTGTTCATGGTCAGAAACATGTACTGGCACTGGCTCTGGCTCTTTGGGTTCGTCATGTTCATGGTCAGAATCAGAGTGATAGTGGTGCTCATGATGGTGGTGGACGATGAGTGGTGTATTGTCCGTATTGTCCTCTGTAAATTGATTAACAATAAATGTTCTCGCACATATGTAACCTGACACACAAAGAGTATACTGTACATAAGTTAGTACTGTACTGTATTATAAGAAATTGCTCTCTACCTAAAGACATTTTCATATGTCAAAAACATTATAATAATTAAAACAGTGTGCAATAACAAATTAAAATATTAACCAGAGAGCAGCCATGACACATTAATGATACTGATCTTTAACATAAATATACATAGCATTAACTGAAGACATAGTCTAATAACTCTACATCCAATACAACATTTTGCACATAACAAGAAGTGTGGCAACATGCATATAAGCTATTTCAAAGCTTCTATAATAGTTCTGAAAAATATCACCACCCATATTTTCCAATTGCTGTTTAAGAAAAACGAAGCCCTCTCTTTCACCCTTTTCTCCAAAATAAAGTTGGACAGGATTTTATCCTACAAATGTTACAGCACAGCACATCATAAGAGATGACTTAGCATGTACCGTAAAAGAAAAAAACTAAAGATGCAATTCATCTCAGATTACAACTTCTAGGTTTGGAAAAGCATATGAAGTACCCGGTAAACATATTTCAGTCACATGTTGGGTACTGTACCATCACTTGTCCTGTTCTTAAGTTAATTACATTAAGATTAAAATTTATAAAACTACAGTACTGTTGTTAAATCCAGATTTTTCTTTTCATAATATGCAGCACTGACAGCAATCACTGCAAATGACTGCCAGCGTGTTTAGATACAATAAGGTGTTATTACAGTACCCTTGAATAAAGGCTAAATTTTGTCAAACTGGTCAAATAATGAATAAAAAATATATATACAGTGAACCCTCACTTTACGCGGTCAATTGAACCCACGGCGGCCCGCGTAAAGTGAGAAACGCGTAAAGTGAACAACATAACATATGGGATTAATTGAAATAGAGACCGGGCCGACCCCCAAACTCCACTTTTTCGGACACAATACCTACGTTGTAGTAAAAATAACTTCTTAATTTTATGATGGTATGCACACACAATTAATAATTAAGAGAAATATCAATAATATTAGGTTTTTTAACACTTACATTAGTAGAAAAGATGGCTGGGCACACGGGGATGGGGGATTGGTTCCGAGGCAGAGGGCAGATTATTGGCCCTTACCTGTATCACTTGTATCAATTGTATCACTATCCACCACAGAGGCTTGCAGGGCCTCTTTGTCAAACCCCTCAAAGTCCATATAAGTCCATATCCTCACTATCATTATCACTATCACTAACTTGGGCCGGCTGTGGTGGGTGGCGGGTGAAGAACTCGGTAATGTTTTGATGACTGGGCGACCTTGTGCGCACCCTGCTCGCGCCGCTCTCCGCGTAAAAGGGTACACACACCGCGGAAAGTGAGCATTCCGGTTTCGGCAGGGTACCGCGTAAACGTGGAAACGCGTAAAGTGAAACCGCGTAAAGCGGGGGTTTACTGTATATATTATTCCTGAAATAAAATACTGTAATAGTAACAATATTTTTATAGGTTCAACCTCTCTAACCCAGCAATTTTGGAGCCTAAGCAAAGCCGGATCATAGAATTTTCCAGTTCTTGGAAATTTACATGCAAGATATAATAAGGTGGAAACTACAGTACAGTACAGAGGGCCATAAGATACTGTATGTACTGTGCAGCACTCGGTAATATTTTTCATCTTCCTTGCATTCATTAACACCAGCAACTAGCACACTAAAGAATAAAATAAAAGATATATGTTGCCTTCTCAGTATTACAACAAGAGGGATTATACAGGGTACAGTCAGTTCTGCTATAACGCGATAGTTGTGTTCTTGTAAAACATATTGTTATAGAAATTCGCGTAATAGAAATAACAGGGCTTATGGAGAAAATAGGGTTAGGTGCAGATTACTACTCGAAATTGAAAAAAATTAGTAGTTAGCCTAACACAAAGGTTAGCACAGTCTAAATAAATGAAATCATACAGTAAATGTAACACTTTACCTTGAAAAAATATGAATACAGTATAACTTGATGGGGGAGAAGGGTGATTTTGAGGTTGATAACATCGAGCTTCTCTTCAAGGGTTATAGCCTTTCTTTTACGATCAACACTGGGAATGCGATCACCAGAATGTTTCTAGGAGATATTCTTCTTTACCATATTCACAGTTAATACCACAAAATTGGAGACATAGTAAGCAAAAATCGCGTTACAGCAAAACAAGCGTTCGCGTTATACAAATATCGTTCCTCTTTTCATAAATCGCGTTAGAGCCAATTCGCGTTGTCAAAACACGTGTTATAGCAGAACTCACTGTACACTGATAAATTAATATTTCAAAATACAAAAAAATTTCAAATGAAATCAATGATGTGCTGCTGAGCACTGCCATTGTTTTATTCCAACAGTATAAAATCTGATAGTAAAGAGGTACAGTATTATGTATTCTTTTAAATTTCAGTACAGTACATTTACAGTATGTATTGGTTTTAATATACAGTAATATCTCCATTAGCCGGAATCTCTCAAACCCGGAACTCTCTGATACAACTAATTAGAAATTTTTAATGCATTACAGGATTTCCTAAGTGTGCAGACCATGGGAGTTTGCTGTTCATGAAAAACCGAAATTAGGGAGGTTCAACACACATTGAATCCCCCTGCTAATTCCATATTGTCGGGGCTCTGGGTTCATTGAATTAGTCCTGAATATTGCTTAGGGCTGATCTCGTGACTCCTTCCTTTACCCTCAAAAGAAAGATATTCAAAGCAAAGGCTGCTCTCTGGGGGCAACATGTCTAACTAAAGTAAGTCCACCTAATAGGAACCTCAGGCCACCATTACCAGCTGATTAATCATGAGCCCAAAATATGAGGAAGGATATCTGAGCTGACTTGGTACAGATTCTGGTAGAAAAGAGAATAGCAGGATCAATCTTCCATTTCTAATCTTAACAACCTATTACAGGTGGCTCATATTACTGATTATCCAGCTTAAATAGTGGAAAAAGGAGGTACAGTACAGTACCACACATGCTCCAGATATGTTCCCTGGGTAAGTTAGCTTATTTACAAAGGATGGGTTTCTTGGTGAACTTAACCTCTGAAACTTTTGATTGGAAAAAAGGCTTGGCTTCTCCCCCTGACAAACACAAGATAAAATATTTAACACAATCTGACTATCCTAGTACAGTACTACAATGGTACCCTAGAGGGGCAGAAAATTAAACAATCCTCAATTACAAAATTTAAACTATGATATCTATATGCTGTACATGCTCTGAAACATATCTTCACTGTGAAAGAGTATAAGCATGAAATGGTGTAGATCAGGTATGGACAACCTGCGACCCGGATCATGTGTTTGTTCGGCCCGTGGAATGATTGAGAAATTCTATTTAATGTGGCCTGTGGTTCAGATACATGCAGCCAGTTTATGGTGAGTAAAGCAATATTTATTAAAAGAATAATCTTAACACAATTCGGTGTTATTTTACTTTCAAACATAATGCCCCCGAAAATTATAAACTACTGAAACATTTAGATCTCGCTATTCTCAGCATTTTGAACTCCATATATACTGTACATGGCGGAAATGAATAATAGCGACAGAATTTAATTTAATTGATTTTAAGTAGTTTTCAGTCTTCGTCTCTGTGAGGAGATGTTATCTGTGCATCACGCAAGCGCAATGTTGACTGACGTTATCCAGTCGTGATCAACATTGGCATTATTCTGGTGGGTGTGAGTCTGTCTTATAAGAAAAATGCTGTAAGTGTAGGAAAAATCAACGTATTCACAGAATTCTTCACTCATCTTCTGTTAAATGCCAAGAAACAATACCATATTACTCTAAAAATTATTATGATGGATTTGTTTCACGAATGTGAAAAAGACTGATTGTAAACTGAAAATATTGCTTGACTGTCCAAGCTAAAACAATATTAACATTACTTCTGAGTTAGATAGGATATAAATTTTGGTGGGTAGGCCAGCAGAAAAATACCTAAATCGCAATGCAGCCCTTGACTGAGGAAAGGTTGCCCATGCCTGGTGTAGATGAAAATTACTAGCATTAGTCTATAAATCCTGGTATATCTAGTTACTGAAAGGTTAGTAACCAATATCCAAATTTAAGGTAGAGTATTTACAAAATATTCACAAAAACTTATTTACCTACTCAAAATGTTGATGACAATTCATGCTGTTCACTTGACGAGATTCACCTTGTCTTCGTTGGGAGAAACCAGAGAAATGTGAATACTTTCTAACACTATGATTAAAACACTGCAATACCTGTACATGCTATCAAAGTGTTTTCCCTCAAATTCATAATGTTAGTAAATGCAAAATAAGTAGAACAAGACAAAAGATACTACAATTACTGAAAAATTATAATTAGTGCAGAAAAATATTCCTGTTCATTTTCACATCAGGTTCAAGAATTTACTAATTTTCACTAAAACATTACTGTATGTTTAGATGTGGAAAATACTGACAACAGTAAAGACTTCCACAAACTTATCCATGGAAGCAAGTGTGAAAACTAATGCATTATGTATACCAGTACTGATTTGCTAACAAAGATTGCAAGTCTAGATCCAGAAAATTCAATACACAGGTGTTTGGGATGTATTCATGAATTAGCTGCACCATCCAATCACAACTTTGTCCATAAGAGGCATCTTTAGATGTAAAGACTTTCATATATAATGTAAAAAGACAAAAACTGTAGACACACCAGCAATGTGCTTCAGGCCTGCAAGCTGCAAGACACATCATTCTTAGGACTTCAGGTCGTATCACTTACAGATCACTTAGATAAACACTGTATTGTGGGGAAATATGTCAGATGTTGACATGTCCAGTCTGGTTTTTTTTTCTTCTCAATGGTTGTCCTTATATTCACTTATACTATGACAGTTTTAGTCTGTGCTCCCCTTTTGGATTGATATGTTACACAAGCACTTAAGAGCTTTTTTTGACAACTTCCTCCCATATTCAATTAACCAAGAAGAGTGTGTTAAGTCAAAAATGCAAGATTGACTCTGAAATCTCTTTATATAACTGAGCTTGTAGTTCAGTGACTTGGACACCTTTTCTCCTTCAAATGGGTAGCAGACATTAGTTGGAACTATCTGAGTGATTCTAGACACCATATTTAAGGTGGCTAACCCATTTAATACCATGTACAGCATGCCCTGACTTGCTACCCTCCATGCCTTCTACTGACCATCAGGCCAACTCCCACTTGATATGTGGTCTTTTTTAAGGTTGCACTTGCAGTGGGGAGGCAGACTGATCAAAAGATTAGCCCAAGCCACACCAATGCTAATTAAATGTTTCTAGATCTTAACTTCAAAATCCAAGTCGTCTGAAAACTTCTGATTCAGGACAGACTCAATCCATGATTATATGTCAAGAATTACTACTATATGAACCCTCACTGTCTCATGAAAATAGGTCCCATAGGCCTGATGTTAGGGGCAGTGAGGATACACCATACTATAATACAGATTAGCATTGTTGTCTTCAACATATGGCAGAGGGCCATAAAGTTTCAAGTGAGAGAATAAAGTTTTGACAGCTGGGATGTGTCTTTCCAATAAGTAGGATGTTATGACTAAACTTAAGAACTCTGTTAGAAATTCAGTTAAAAAAGAAAAGTTAACATTTTCATATTTTACAAGAGAATGAAGCTCCTTAGGAATGCAGCTGGAAATCAACTATGCAACCAAAGGGTTAACCCACTTCACTACCTGGATGTCAATGATACTATTTTATTTGACTCATACCAGACAATTTTATTCAGAGGTTAAGGACACCACAGTCAATCAACGATCTTCACAGTAATTTATAAATTTATTCGTGTCAGTATTTCAAGAATTACCTTGCCCATTTCTTAAATGTTTCTCCTACTAATATTTCTTGTCCAATCTGTACTATACTGTACACAGTTGCCAATTAAATCTCACTAAACATTAAGCTGTCTTTACAAGATATTTCCTTAAGTTTCATATAAATTTGAATACAGCCTCTTACAATCAGTTGCCTTGGTTTATGTATTTTCCCTACCTTAATGCATTTATGCTGATCTATATATCAATAACTATAATCTAGCAGCCCAAATCCTTTCAGACAAGTTATGGTCCTTTCTTATAATATGTATAATGCCCATCTTAATCTATTAATGCAGTGTTATAATGACTTTTCTCTGGTAGTGTTAAGATAAACTGTGGATGTTAACACTTACATGTATGGCAATACAAGTGACATCAAGCAAAGTGACGACAGCCTCACAAGTTATATTTGCATCTTTATCCAGACATAAGATAGGACTTCATATGCTTAGTCTTTTCTATCTTTCTTTTCATTTGTTAAATCCTTACAAACATTCTGCTTGAAGTAATAATACAGTGGGCTCCATAGTACAGTAATACTGTATACACCATCATGAAAATTAATCTTACTGAAGGTATTGTTATATAATAGTGGAATGTGGATTAAACTCAACTACTGTACATGTTTTTTGTTCAATTATAGAAATTCTTGAAGTGAAAATGTTGTCTGAAAAGAAGTTGTTAAACCATGCTTTTAAAAACAGAAATAACACACTCGAAAAAGAAAACTCACTCCATGCTAAAAATAAAGAGAGATGCAAGAAACATGTCCATAGATGAGCCATGAGATGGTCAAAAGAATATTTTTACTCTACGTTTCCTTCTTCACTGTAAGTCTACTTATAAAATAATTTCAAAATCTAAGTTTTTTCAATATCCCACTTTCTTCCTGACCAACTAGATTACATCACTTCCCAGAAAACTTTCATTCTATTTAGAATGTCTTTGGGGGTAAAAGCTTACTAATGTACTGTACATGTAGTCATGTAAGACAGGTCATAATATACTGTACCACAAATGAACAAAAGAAACTACCAAGGATTCTGAATGACTCAATCTAAATAAATGTAGCAACTGGGTTATCTGATATCAGGATAAGTGCACAAACTCACCACCTGATCCCCTAATACCTGTACTTGCTATAAAACTCAACAAAATTAGGGATAATGTTCATATCACATACGCATAAAATCACCAATTACTTGACACCTTCCCTCTCTTTGTACATATACAGAGGCATTTGATAAACTGGTGGTCCCCATTATAAACAGATCCTTTACATGGGCACTTCCATCACCCAAAGACTAGTATCCCAACCATAAAACAAGTGTTGAGTTACAATTACCTTTAAACATGTTTTATGAGGATGTTATATCCTTAAACTTATTTTGCTTAAAACTTATAGATTATCAGCAAGGTCTAATATGTCCTGAGTACATCGTGCATTGAAAGTTATATATTTTCTTCTGGTGAAGATGGTGTCCCCATGAGGGTCAAAATGATGCTTTAGCTTATTTAATTTTTCTTGATATACAGGGTTGATTTTATGAGATTTGTTATAGAAGTCCCTTAGGCTTACCAGTCTAGTTCCTTGGTTTTGACCTTACCGTTTATAATACTGTAGTAGGAAAGTTCCAGTATTTAACATGAATATAGAAGTTAACACTTTTGGGATTACCTGAAATTTATTTAAAGAGCCTATCATTCGCTCCACAGTGAATCAACAGTTATCAAAGAATATAACAAATTCAGGAGGTTGGGGACCAGCCCCCTCCCCCCTACAAAAAAAAATCCCACCTACCCTTGATATATCTGTCATGCACATTGTCAAGCTTTATCAAGTCTCAGTATCCATTACGGTATTTTAAAATACAAATTATAAAATATACAGTGGAGTAAATAACTTCATCTTGATACCTTGTTTTATTTTATTTCTCATCATAACAAACGGCTTCATACAAAGGAGTGTCACTTATAAGACTAGCGAGGTTATCCTAAAACTATATTTTGCGCTTGTGAGACCGCACTTGGATCACGCGGTTCAGTTCCGGAGACTTTCCTATTTGTGGCATTTTATAGCTTCTGCTTCAGTTTGTTGTTATATCTTTACATCACTCTTGTGTTTCTTACCCTCATTCTTAATCACTATTCTCTAAATACCTTTGACCATGTCATGGGAATCTCTATGGACTGTATAATCTTATTTCTACTGTACAACTGAATATCCCCAATGACGAAATAATGCAATCAACTTTATTTTCATTGCATTCAACTTACCTCCTGTTACATGCTCACTGTTTGAACTGCTGCTGGAACTGCTGCTGGAACTTCCCTTTCGCTTGTGTGCTGCTTTTGCTGCCATACCACCAGCTACCGCCATACCACCAACTGCTGCCAGACCACCGACAACCGCCATGGAACCAATACCTGCCACACCAATAGTCTCAGTCAAATCAAGTCTCATAAAAAAAGTCTACTTATGATGTATCTAGTAACTACAGGCATTCCCTGATTTATGATTGTGTTTCATTCCTGAAAAATTTGGGGGTAAATAGATTTTTTTTTTTGTAAAATGAAGCACATTTTCCCAGACTCCCATTATATAACTAGAGATATATTCCTACAATAAATAACATCCATAAACTGCCTTAAATGCCACACACGTTCTTAATGAAAAATTTGGGTGTACGTACACAGATGCTCCTCTGCTTATGAATGAGTTATGTTCCTGAGGCTTGTTTGTAAATCCACTTGTCCATAAGACCATCTTTACTCTTGTAGATACCAAATATATTGTAAAAAACTACAAAAATAAAGGCAGTACAGTACAGCTACACCCCAATAATAAATACAGCACAATACTCTTCATTATAATATCTTACCAGCCTTTAACAGTTTATACTGTATTATAATCAAACAGTTAATTGGGAATATGGACATGAGGAGGAAAAGTTGATTCTGGTTTTTTTTTGCTCCATAAAAATCTAGATGTTTGTATTAAGTACAGTACAGTATGCATACAAGGTGTTCCAAATATGGTAGAAGACAGAAAATAAACACACATGACCCATATTATGAATACTTATCTACTATGTCTTCAAATTATAAGTGCAAAGATTCAGAATCTTTTGTGGTAGACTGTAGGAACAGGTGATTTTAAAGATGATGGATGGAGGGAGGGAGAGAGACAGAGGGAACAAAGTACATTTAGGATCAGTCAATGATGCAATGTTTTTCATTTCTAATTTACATACTGTACCATCAAATGATCAAAAATAATCTTAAAACTTACCTGACTGCTGGTGCTTTGAGTTCACTAAAGAATATGAGACATACTGAGGGGCAAATTTGGTTCCATTAAGATCATTGTTCTCATCATCACTATCACCCTCGTGGTATCTGGTTAATCCAAACATACATTGGTTGTAAGTTGGCAGAGCTGTGGGAATTTCAAGATATACAGTATTAATATACAGGGTAGTACCAGTCATATTGGAAGAGTTGTAAAGTTCATACAAAAATGCACCAGATTTCATCCATCAAACCAGTAATGAAGTGACTACCACAGATTATCATCCATCCACTTTACTGGTAACATGTGATCGTCTTTTCCTTTTATCAAGTATAAATTTAGTGAAACTTAAAACTTTTCTCTGTAAAAAGCTTCCCATTCAACATGGTCTATTGTGCCATAAATTTGTAAATACTGTATTTGACCAACTATATACAGGTACCTGAATTTTCTCAGAATTAAAATTCCCTTAAAATGGAAACAGAATTACATAAATACAAAAAAGGCTGTAAAAGAAAAGTACAATATATAAACTCAGACTAAACAATTCAGATATAAATGTATTAAGTTACGAAGTTGCATACTAAATTACATATTGATCTGCTATGGTCCGTCTCATATTATCAGTCAGCGAGAAATTTCTATGGTTTGGGCACAATTAATTGCTGCACATGTTTCAAGTAAGACAACTTGCTGTGTGATTCAGTATTTGTAAAAAAGTGTACAGTAGTACAACATTTTACATAAAAATATATTTTGTTAAGTGCCAGGCGTCACAATCTGGATTGAACAAAAAAATATATTTTGTTAAGTGCCAAGTGGCTATTCAGCACAGATATGCAGAAAATAATGATATGAGGTATTCAACATATTTCTTTAATACACATTAAGTAAATGTAAATAGGCTCCAAGAAAGTAAACTTACGCATTCCAGGGTATTGCTGAGCACCTGGGAAAACTGGTGCTGATGGAGCTGGTGGTCCAGGATAAGCAGGAGCTGGGACGTTGGGATTAAATGGTGTAGCATTTGGATCAACTGGAACACCACCTGGAAATCCAATTCCAGGTGCCCCAGGCTGACCTGGATTGTATGGTGGCTGCCCAGGGTATCCAGGAGCAGGTGGCTGTCCAGGATATCCTGGAGCAGGTGGCTGTCCAGGATATCCTGGAGCAGGTGGCTGTCCAGGATATCCTGGAGCAGGTGGCTGTCCAGGATATCCTGGAGCAGGTGGCTGTCCAGGATAAGCAGGAGGCATACCAGAGGCACCTGGCTGACCTGGAACAAACCCTGGTGCTGGGGGTTGTCCAGGAACAGGAGAAAATCCTGCTACTGGGGGCTGACCTGGATACATGACAGGTGCAGACATAAATGAACTGAAGTACTGCTTCAGAGGTAAGGAACCTATCACAATAGGTGCTTCGTATTCCATGTCTGTATGGCACCCAGAGGGATCCATTTCAAACTGAAAAAAGAAAAAAAGTTGGCAGAAAAATAAAAAAACAAAACAAATGTGAATATTTCCGTCTGGAAAGGAGAAAGAAAAGGGAGAAATCTGTCTAAATGCATGCATGAGTTCAGTACTTCTTACAAAAGTAAAAGAGGTCAGTAATAGGCTATCATTCTCATGATTACGTATCAAAAATCCTAAATGCTTGTGACCAAGAGGCTTTCAGAAAGTAAATAATTAAGAAAATTTTTTACACAGTATCTAGTCCAGGAACCCAAATACACTCACCTCTCATTTTACGTGGGGGGTTACGTTCTTGAAAACCACCGCTTAATTAAAAAATGCGTAAATTAAACATAATTTTCCCATAAGAATACATGTAAATGGTTCAGGTTAGGGGAACCATCATATACTGCACAGGGTAACAGTGCTCTCACTTAAACCAAGCACGCGGCCAACCTCCGACACACGCTCTCCTCACTGAAGGCGGGTGATCACATTTAATTTCACTTACACTGTGTGTCATGGGTTGCGTTAGGCTTACCCACGCAACCAACTCCAAAGTTTGTTTTACCAGAGATAAGACGCCCGGCGAGGCATAACTGGGACATGTATTTTTCAATTAGTGTATGTCAGCCAGCCTTTAGGGGGGTGGGCAGTGAAACAGTGTTGTACTGTTCATAGCTTCACACCCAAAAACCTCATTTTAAGTAGTATCCCCTGAGCCATGGGTTAGTTAAGACGATCGCCTCCAGCCTCTCCCTCCTGAAGGGGGGGCGGGACACCACACCACACAGAGTCCTCCACCACACTCCGTCCTGTGAACCGTCGTCGACACGAGACTAAGCGTGTTAACCTAGGTTTGTTATCCCCGTGGAAATATCACGTGTGGATGCCTGGTTGCAACAAGAGCAATCCAGGCTGGCCTATCAAACCTACAGTAAATGGTTAATTAATTCACGCTTACAGAGTTCTCCTGCACGACACCCGTCTACCGTGACCGTGATCGACACGAGACTAAGTGTGTTAACCTAGGTTTGTTATCCCCGTGGAAATATCACGTGTGGAGGCCTGGTTGCGTATTCCCTTTATGTGTTTTCCCCTAGGATAATTATTTCTTTTACTTTTTATTTAATAATACTGTATGTATGTAGGATTGTGTGTGCATGCAAATGAGTAAAAATAAATGAAAAAATTTATGTATATCTACCCAAAAAATACATTTGAAAAACAGCCATAACACCTCACAGCTTGGCCCAGTAGCCTTAGGGTCGGTGACCCCCTGTACAGTATTATACAAGATGTGCCCCAACTTAGGAATGTCCGACTTACAAACGCTCAACGATACGAACGGGGTTAAACTTGACATTTACAGTGTATTTTATTTACCTGAGGACTTATTTTTTACTTTCATTTACTGTATTTTGTCATTCCCTATTTCTTCTTTTGTCTTCAATTAAGCGATTTTAGATGTATATAAGGACTTAGGCTATGATATACTGTAGTTGGATTTTAAACATTGTTCTGTAAGTACAGTATGCACATAGCATGTGTTGACTTACGTACAAATCCGACTTAAGAACGTCCTCAGGAACGGAACCCGTTCGTAACCCGGGGACCCCCTAATATAAAATTATCACACAAAAAAATTTACCCATTGACTCACACCCACCTTAAATTCATAATCAATATCAATGATTCGACAAAATTCAAGATGGGATGGTGGAAGGGCTGGGATGAGCATCTCAACACCAGACCAAATGTCATCATCTCCTGGTTTAATTTCAGGCCTCTTGAGTTCAGCAACTTTTCTATGTTCTTTCTTACGACTCCCTTCTGCATGGTAAGTTATCGTCTGGTAAAAAATAAACAAATATGTAACACTTAAAAATATAGACATATGGTACATTTATCCTAATATGTATTACTGGATACATATAAATTAACCCAAATATTTAGGTCATATCCTGTACTGAATGGGTAACATAATTATGAAGTCTATTTAATCCTTGTAATGATAAGCCTCCTCACATTCTTCCTTTTTTTTTCATTTCAAAACTATTTGAGAGAGACAGAGCGAGAAAAAAGGGAGGTAGTGTGGCTGAAACTGCACCTGACCGCCTCACTTCCCTAACTGTAAAGTCAAGTACAGTATCCCTTTACAACTGGGTGAGCGGAGAGAACTAGTGACCCCATGGACAGGAGGCCAACTCTGTACAGTATCTAGTTGACACTATATTCCATTGTTTACTGTGTACAATACTATATCTTTCAGTGGGAATATAATCTCAAGTATTCATGGCACGTGCAAAAGTTACAAAAGATATACTGTACTCACTTGGTGTATCACAGCCTTTGTGGAGTTGATCTTGACATTGGTCATATTTGAACATTCAGCATTTATAATCATCTTCTCCCCAGGAACAAATCCTGATCGGTCAAGGCGCAGTACCAGTGACATAGGACCACTACGACAAAACCAGCAGCAGGTGTAGTCATGTTTGGTGCACTCTATTGGTAACTAAAAAATATAAAGACTCCATTTTACCAAAACACATAGATACAATAAACAGGGATGTTGGATGTAAACAGGAATTGAGTCATCAAATGACACTGCTCTGGTGGACACATCAAAATTGAAAATTCTTAATAAATAAAAGTTAATTATTTTGAACAAAAGTAGTCATCAAAATCATCATTAACATCCATTTTCCATGCTTGTGTAGACAGTAGAGCCCAGTGACGAAGTAGCACTAGTATATATTATTTTATCTTATTTCTCATAGGAGTTGGTAACTAGAGAGAATTAAGTTTCAGAGATGAAAACACTGTTAATAGCATCAGCTGGTGTGGTGGTGGCGGTCACGGCTAAGACTCATTGGTGTTGCCTTGCTACAAATTATTTCTTGGTTTATACCAATCATTTAAAAAAACTAGGGTCAAATCAAAGGTTGATTAAACAATGAGTAAAAGGGAATAGGTTCTAATCCTTAGTTATTCTGTACATCATTGTGATGCAGGCAGGGCTGGTGGGACCATGTGGTTCCAGCTGTTTCACTCCACAACAATAACAATGACCTGCAAAATACCAAAATATATTTTTTTAATTTTAATTTATTTTTCTTCACTCGACCTTCGGCGCCAACTGTCAAACATGTCACTGTCATTTCCTTCCCCTCCCTCCCTCCCTCCTTCCCAGCCAGGGTTTGGTGTTATAGACTTAAAAGTTTTTATCTTATATAATGTCACAGACTAAAGTTAGGAGAACATAATTTGTATTGCTGGGATCCTCGCAAGACAGCGAATGATTTGAATATAAACGTCATATATTTTACACAAGAGATAAAAAATTTTGCTCTATGTAATAAAATTCTTAAATTAGAACTAAAATTTGTATGTCTAATGCGAGCTATAGCATGTTTAGATACAAATTAATCACTATCTTATAATAATTCCAGCAATGTTAATTATACCCTTTGTATTCTCCCATGTCAGTTCAGTGACATTTTATAAGAGAAAAACTTAAAGTCACTCTTAAGGACAGATAAATAAATAAGCACAAGACCTTGGCATCAACTGTCAAACATATTACTTCATCTCCCTCCCTCCCCTTCATCTTCCCAGCCAGTAAACAGACCATTTCGCATCCCTTAATTTTAGCTGTGTTGATTTATGAGTGTTCGTTTAACATAATACTACAAAAAACAATGTTTTGTTTATTCTAGGAATCTAGGAGATGCATCTGGGTAGACTCTCAGTCTTTTTAGTATTTTGTGTCTTCCTCAAGTCCCAAACTAAATTATTCTGTTGAAACAACACTTCGATTTAGTGCGAATTCGGTTTAAAGCGACCTCTCTTGGAACCCATGTAGTGTCATATAGACGTTCTACTGTACTACCGCACCACAAGGACAACAAAAGCAATTCTAGGCTTCGTTTTATTTGCGGCTGGTGACATGGCTTCATTATCTGGCTCCTGGCTGCTCCAAGATATTGAAACTGTCAATCAGCTGCATTTTGGTTATTCTTGCCTTGTAAAATTAATACTTACCACTGCCTGAGGATCTATATTGAGATCATATAAGGTGTTGACTGAATATGGCCTGAGGCATGTCTTATCAACCTTCCAGGGTATGTCCATCTTGGCCTTACACTGATGACGCACTTTGCCAATATGGGATTCAAAGGATGAAGGAATCCCCTTGGGAAGCAGGAAACTGAAGTTAAATACATGTGTACCAGGGGGAAGTTCTGAGGTTGACTGACCTGCAAATTACAAATATTTCAGTTTACTAAACCAATAAGTTTAAAAGTAAACATTGTGGCCTCGCAAGCTATGATATTACCAAACTACAATGGGGAAAGACTGTTGTAAAGCCATTAACTCTATCTGAAATTCCTCTGACATTAGCTCTTTCTTAATTGCCATTGGTCTCTTGGAAACCAATTCCCTGCCTGGGTAACGTAGAAGTGAGTACGTACAGTACACTACAAGTCTATATTCCTTTAAAATTTGAAGATGAGACCAAAGTAGATGTTAGTGAGTCATATCACAAGTGAGATAATGGACCATTCTCTTTTATTTGACTCAATGTTAAATCATTTGGAGGTTGCCTGAAATTTAAAAAATCATAAATTTGTTCAAAATCTGGGTAATTTTCAATTAGTGAGGTTTAAATGTACTGAAATGTGGTAAACAATTCACAAACCATTTCCTAAGACCCAGTAGTTCATTTCATAATAGCTCTCATGGCTGGTGTAATGTCTTGTCTCTGTTTTTCTGTCATCACCTGACCCACTTGTTCGACGTTCTGTCCAATGCACTTTTCCAAATCCTCTGAACTTCACCTCAATGCCTGAAAATCAGAATACACCATTTAAAATTTTTTTTTTTGCTAATACAGTATATTTGAAAATTAATGACACATCCCAAAACAGTCATAACCATAACATCAAGTTGTACATGAAGATAAAATATGGAGGATCTTGAGGTGTACAGGTATTTGCAAATATAGATGCCCCCACTATCATCAAGTTGGAATAATTATACAAAAATACGGAATCCAAAATCTAAACAGCCAGAGAAGCTAATCAGAAAAAGTACAAATGCATAAACTGAAGGCTCCAAAATTTCATTGCTTTAAGTTAAATATATTCTATATTTTTGGGGTAAAATCCTGTTAACAAACTTAAGTGGGTCAAAAGCATATACAGTACATTGTACATTGGTATGAACTATAACTAGAGCATGTTGATGAAACAAGATCATATGCTAATCTTCATTCTGTGATAAATACTTCTGTCATGCTTCAATTTAATTATAAAACAAATTAAGACTTCAGTTAGGAGAAGCAAAGGCTCTTTTTGATGGAGTGTGGTGAATCCCCCTTCCTCCCCATTGGGGAATAGCAGTCAGAATAATATGTTCCAAAAATTAACTTTAAATCCATGTTACAGACCCTGTCCACTATGGCACCGAGTAATGTCAGAAAAGCAGATGAAGATCGACATATACAGTACTTACACACAAAAAGCCTTCTTCCAATTCCTGAATAAGATTACCTTAAATAAATATATTGAAATAAGATATACTGTTCACAGAACAGCAACTAACCTCTGCATGATTTAGGTTTGTCACATGTCACCTGAACATTACCAGTGATGGCCTGCCCAGAGAAGAACACCGCTGAAGGATTGTCAAATACGATTGCAATTGTGGATGGCATCTCGTCTCCTGTGGACAAAAGATTATACCCTGTATTATATACTGTACTATATTAACGACCCATCCTACCAAGCATAACCTAACCTCCCACAGCTATCCTAACCTAATCTGCTAATGACTATAAAATGTTCTTGCTCATGTAAAAACAGTTGAATCACCAACAAACACACCATCAATGTTGGCCGGACAGGATGGAACGTCTTACGAGAAAACTGGGGAAACCAAAGTATGAAAAGTGCGATTCCCCCACCTGATTTGGGCTATTATTTTGGTAAGGTATAAGTTTTCTTCTAAAGAGATTTTTTGTTAGGAAGCTGGTTAATCCAGACCACTGTTATATAATATATATATATATATATATATATATATATATATATATATATATATATTGTATCATTCAATATATTTCTTACCCATAAATTTTAACCCCCAAAATTTAGAAATTATGAATAAAGTAAGATTTCCTCTCCATGTAGTTTCAGTGAAACAAAAAATAAGATCACTTGAAGAATCATCCCCCGCCCACAATCAACATACGGTAAGCCTTATCCTCAGGGTAACAAAAATGTAATTTATCAAATCTTGTGAGTCATACATCCTTATTAATAAGATACGTTAGGTTAGGTTAGGCAAAAAGATCAGACATTATTGCAAAATAAAGGCAGTCCCCGAGTTACTACTGTCTGACTTACTATCATCCGCACTTACAAACAGGAATCCAATTCATTCCTCGCAAAAATTTGTAATTAAAATCCATTTGTTTACATTATTTTCATTACAGTCTGTATTCTATATTGCTTAACATCACTTAATTTACTGTATTTACATTCTTTGTTCTGTATGGGATATTATTGTTGTTTTGTATGGGCAGGGTTGTGCTTTACCTAACCTAAATTATGGCATTAACACTGTTCTGACTTACCAACAAATCAACTTACGATCAGGGTCCAGGAACGCATCCCTGTCATAAATCAAGGACTGGCTGTACACAACACTAACCTAATCTAGCCTGGAGGAGATGGCTAGCACCAGAACACGGTGTTCGATTTTGTTCATTTCTTCCACGTTCTTTGAATGATGATAATAAGTTATAAAAATGATACGACAATGCAAAGAACCTAATAGAACTTGACCTAAACAACCAATGAAACCTACCTAACCTTACCTAACTTCCCAGCCGGGCCCTGCCATATTAAACAGAAAGTACTGTACAGTATTTACTTTGAGATCTGGTACCAATAAAAGCAGCTTTTCTGAAGCAACATGGTGAAATTTTAATTTTTTTTTTTTTGCGGACATGAGAGTACAGTCGGACCGAGCATAAACAAACAAAGATCAGACAACAACATGCACCAACATGGAATATTTATGGTGAATAATTAATTTCTTTGCATACTAAGCATGTAGAAATCATTTAAGTGTCATACGAACAGTTTTTCACTGTATTTTAGCCCGCAATATCCCTCATCCTTCATACCTTGCCCACTACAGGCGATTTATGATCGTAGATACAGAAAAACTAGAAAAAGAAATAATTAAAATACTTATAACAAACCAAATAAAAAGTTGTCTTATTATTTTTATTACTTACAAACATCCAAAGAGCATCTGAGGAAAAAATTAACGAAATCAAACAACTCCTTCTCATGTCAGCCATCGGCTTTGTATTACCCTACGCTGATTCCACCTGACGAATCGTCACCTCCAGAGGGCCTATCAATGCCAATCATGCTTGAGTTTGAATGTCATCATTTGTAGCAAGGTAATTATTGATGACTGATCTGCCGCCGATTTTTCATAGAAAACAATTATAAAACTGCCTTAATTTCACTGTGTTTTATAGTGAACACTGTCGTAGTTTGTGAAAATGTATTAAAAATTAGTTATTTCATATTAAAGCTAACCTAACCCTAGTTGATAAGAAAAAAAAGCAGCAGAAGCATTGTAAGAAAACCTCACCAACCTAACCAAACAAACTTACCCAACCTTACCTAACTTCCTAGCCATGGGGCTCCACCCCCCCAGACCCCCAGTATAATAAACAGAAGGAACTTACAGATACCTGGTGATACCTTGTGGAGATTTCGGCTGAACGGCCTCAGCTACAGGATCTGCCGCTGTGTCCTCCAGACTGTCTCATACACCTTGGAATTTGCATGGCCAGTGTATTATAGTGCATTATAGGGTGTAAAAATTAATTTTTTTGTGGACCAGAGAGAAGCCGCCAGTACCAAACGGCTCATAAGCATACAGTACACTGAGCATCGGCGTCGATCCGGAGTGTTTTGAAATACGTTAATATGAGTGGCCGTTTACATCCTGAGATGAGACGTCACCACCACATTACCACACAAGAAATAATTATCACATCAGAACTCACTGATGAAAATATTGTATGTATAAGAAAATAAACGTCAAAATAAATAACGCGCTGACGGATCAGTTGCCAATATTAACCAAAACGTCATCAATATTAACCAAAAATACATCAATATTAACCAAAAAAACATAATGCTAGTGTAGTACTGTATAGGAAAAAATTTCATATCAATGTTACCCTAAATCCACTGGTAAGTTTTTTCTTTAATACCCCTGTATTACAAATTTTGAGACTAAGTGTATTTCAACTTTTGGTTAATATATATAGGACTAATCAGAGAGCAAGTTATTTTTATTACTGTTTATTTTCTTACATTATTTTTCATCAGCGAGTTCTAATATGATAATCATTTATTGTGGAAGTTGTTCGTTTCATAGATAATTAGGCGCCTAGGTGCGCACTAATTTGTCTTGGGGGCGGTACTGAGACCATGCTCTGCTGCCTCTTGTACCTAGGGGCTTTTCCCGCGCTTGGGGCAGTTCGTTTTCAGCATGTCGTGTGAAGGTTGTCGCCGATCTTACATGGACGTAATTTGTGAATTTTGGGGTCAAGACAACGAGACCCTTCAATTGTTTAAAGATCACGGCATTGTTCCTTTAGATAGAGACTGTTTATTTTCTTACATTAATTTCATCAGTGAGTTCTGATATGATAATAATTTATTGTGGAACCCGCCAACACAGTAAATCACTCCGCCGCCCAGGGTGCATAGCACCGATGCGGCCGTATCATCTCACGTCCAGAAAATGCCTAAAATTTCACCATATCGTAGTAAGTTCTTTCTGTTTAATATACAAGGGGGTCCGGGAGGCAGAGCCCCTCGGTAAGAAAGTTAGGTAAGGTTAGGTAGGTTTGTTTGGTTAGGTCTGTTTTTCATACCCACAAATGTTAGGTAGAGTTTAATTTTAAAATTTCCAGTTTTAAACATATTTCCACAAACTACAACGGTGTCCACTATAATTTAACAGTGAAAATCCGGCGTTTTTATAATTGTTTTAAATCAATTTCACTTGCAGGTTAGTCCTATATAATTACCCAGCTTTTGTAAAAGCTAACAGAAGTATTACCACTTCTCTTACACTGTATATTATAACAGCTGGCTAAAATGCCATAGGCTTTATGAAAATTTTTGTACACTAACTCCAACTTTTGTTTCGTTGAGGTGAATAATATAAATAATTATCAGGCTATTTTTAACATTACTTTACACAATCCTTGAGTGTCTGACAGTGAGTGGGTCACGTTATACAACAGTCAGCTTGTGTCCTTCACTCAAGGTCCCCCTGGCCACAACGCCCATTTCCCATACTGCCTTATAAATACCTTAACTTTTACACTTTACAACATTAACGAGTGAAAGAAATCATATATTGCAAAGGAATTAATAAGGAAAACCTCCAGAATACGTACACGACAAAATCTTTCTGTATAGTTGTAATGAAGGTGATATACAACCCCCCGTTTGTATCTTGCAGTGTTATATGGTGTTCTAGGAAGCTTGAGTCCTGGGCACTGCTTGTTGCAGCTGAGCCTGAGTCTGCAACAACCACACACGCCTACTAACCAAAGTACCGCTTTGACTTAATAATACTCTTGGTATACTTTCATCCCACACTATACAGTATATATATATATATATATATATATATATATATATATATATATATATATATATATATATATATATATATATATATATATATATATATATATATATATATATATATATATATATAATCGGAGTCTTTATACAGAATCTGACAGGAACAAGAAAACTGATTGATAAAAATATCCTCTTTTTTTTTCTTCAGTGAAATGTAGATTTAGTCGACGATATTTGCTGTATTATAAATTAGTCGAGGCACATGGCGACACTAGCTGTTGCGTTAAATTGCTGGGGTTTCCGGCGAGGGAGCTACTCTGAAAACAAAACGTTTATCCCTAGTTGGCAAAACGTCACTTGTATTTAAGACTTAATTGGATGATTGTCCCCATTTAGCCAGTGTGTGTGGGTGTGTGTATGTGTGTGTGTAGAGTTCTATCTCATAATTTTTCATCGTTGATAGCCTAGCGCAGTTACTAACCTTGTTGCGCGCTTAACCACCTTAGATGTTGAAGCACTTTTACTTTTATCCTCTTCACCACTAATCGGCTCGTTAGCCGCTTGGGCGATCGGTCACGCCTCTGTCACGCACTGTTGGCAAGTACTAGTCATGTACTGGCTCTGTTACGCACTGTTGGCAAGTACTGGGCATGCACCGGCTCCTGAATGTACCTGAACCTGCTACAGTGTTGGTCAAGTCTTGTCTTGAAAGAGCTCACACTACTGTAAGTGCCGTCACAACAATTTCTGGTAGATTGTTCCAAGAGTTCACAACTCTCACTCCGAAAAAGTTTGCCCTCACAGTTTTCTGGACTTGCGGCTTCTTCAATCTTGAGCTGTGACCTCTTATGGGGCGAGCGTCCAAGAAAACGTGGCGCCTTCACACGATGTTAACTCCAGACACTCATACCATTGGAGATGACATACCAGAATACACAGGCGAAATTACGACCCAGGCACTACTCAGGGGTGGACTCATACCGACAGCGACATTGCCTGAGCTGGTGTTGTTGTTTACGTCGCGGGGTCGACCACAGGTGGACGGTGGACGCGTCTGGTGCACGTCCTTAGTAGCCGACTGGCTTACCACATAACCGTGTTGACAACGATATCCGACCTTAGTGACGTTCATTCATCTCGAAATACTAGTGTGGACGTTGTCCCGGGGTCGACACGACCAGATTGGCCTACAGAAACCTGTGTACGGGGTGGAGTCGTGGCTTCGAGTGAGGTCAGGTCGTAACATTACAAGGCTGAAGGCGCTTGAACACTACTTAACACAACACAACTACGTTAATTGCTCACTGTATATTCAGACAAAATACTAAGTTACAACACTAAGGGATAAGGTGGAACATGGACTACTAGACTTTACCTGTGTACGGCGTGGGGTAGTGGCTTAGAGTGAGGTCAGGTGACTCAGGTCGTGTTCTAGAGAGGCGGTCTCCAGCCAACTTCTCACACCCTCATGCCACCAAGCCGTAACTTACAAACAATTCAACTACATCCCTCACACTACATATTGGCGTATGAAAATTAGGCTGCGAACTCATTCTTTTTTTCTTATATCCTCTTCACCACTGATCGGCTCGTTAGCCGCTTGGGCGATCGGTCACGTCTCTGATTACTTTTCCTTTTCTTTTATCCTCCTCACCAAAAGATCGGTTCGCTAGCCGCCTGGGCGATCAGTCACGTCTGTCACGCACTGTTGGCAAGTACTGGGCATGCACCGGCTCCTGAATGTACTTGAACCCGCTCCAGTGTTGGTCAAGTCTTGTCTTGAAAGAGCTCACACTACTGTAGGTGCCGTCACAACAATTTCTGGTAGATTGTTCCAAGAGTTTACAACCCTCACTCCGAAAAAGTTTGCCCTCACAGTTTTCTGGACTTGCGGCTTCTTCAATCTTGAGCTGTGACCCCTTGTGGGGCGAGCGTCCGCCAGATCCAAGTAAGGACACTCAACTGAGTAGTGCCCCCTGAGATGCTTATACACCTCCACTAGGTCACCCCTTGCCCGTCTGTAGTATAAGCTAGGCAAGTTCAGGCGCTCCAATCTCTCAGGGTAGCTGAGGTGCCGAAGTGCAGGCACCAGTCTGGTGGCCCTCCTTTGAACGTTTTCAACCAACTGACAGTCCCTAGCATATCTCGGGGATCAGACGGGGTGACAGTACACCAGATGGGGAAGTAATTAGCATTGAAAAATGTCAGTAAAATATTTCAAGGGTCATTTTGGCCACTTATTACTCTGCAATCGAATCGTGGACCACATATTCATAATCATCAAGCTCAGGAGTACCCATACTGTGATTTTCAGCAAAATCTAATTTTTGGCCAAAAAACCACCAAAAATGTAAGTCTTACACCTTACAAAATTTTTGACCAAATGTACATTTTTCTCAGAATTGAAACTTTTGGGGTTTAACCTATTAAGTACTTTCAGAATAACACACAAACCCTAAACCACACCTTGGAAACCCATAGTTGATGAGTAATTAGCAGCCTTGTTTATTATTACACACTCTTGTAATTACTGTACTTATATCTCAGAGCTGCCATCACCCATCACCTTTAGAATATAACATCCACACTCTTTTGCTCCGGGCCCCATTGTATTGCTGATTGTCTAAACACCATAACTTACACAATAGCGAGGGATTGCAATCAGACTTGGTATCTGGATATGTCATAATCTTACATTACCATGAGAAGTGTGTTTAACTTTTATCCTCTTCGTCACTGATCGCCTCGTTAGCCGCTTGGGCGGTCGGTCATGTCTTTATTACATACTGTTGGCAAGTACTGGGCATGAACTGGCTCCTGAATATATCGGAACCTGCTCCATTGGTCAAGTCTGGTCTTGAAACAGCTCACACTCGGTGCCGTCACAACACTCTCTGGTGAGGAGGTTGTTCCACGAGTTCATGATTCTCACTCCGATAAAGTTACCCCTCACAGTTTTCTGGACTTGCATGACCTTGTATGGGAGGTGTTGTTGTTATTTGTTATCAGCTGTGGTCATCACATAGAAACTTTTGAGTCCTCCAGTAGAGACGTTCGTTCTCTAATCACATCAGGATGTCTTAGTCCTACGGTTTCTTTTAGTGTACTCTATCAGGGACTTGGGTATTTTTTTTAAATAACTCAGGATGCTCAGGGAATTTTAAATTGTGAATGAATGAATTTATGGTACAGTCAATTATGTATAACCACAGTAAGAGGAAAGAGCTTAGATGTATTGAGTATATGTTGAAGGCATCTTGTATCTTATATGTAGAGTATTTCATGTGAAGAGATTATGTGTTGAGTACTCTGTATGGCAGCTGTAAATCAAATGTACTGTGTGTTCTTACGCGGAGGCCGTTCGTAACTGAAGTTATTCTCTTTTGATATATGAACGTCAGAGAATCCGATGGAAGCATAGAAAGTGTTGTCAGTCTTGTATTATAGAAGTTAGATAACTGTCTGAAATGTAAACACAAAACGTACTTATCGCTCGAGTTTAACGGAAAGTCTCAGTAATCTGCCTCCGTAATCCCCACCCCTGTGCACTACCGTTCTGAGTATTTGTCGTTAGTTTTTTCTTGTCCTTGAAAATAAAGAGAGATATAACCAAGAAGGTTGCATAAATAAAATAAAGTAGCAACAGCAAACATGGAAGAA